AACTGGCTCACAGGTCGGGCACAAAGAGTTATAGTGAATGGGGTTACATCAGACTGGTGATCTGTCACTAGTCTGATGTTCCAGAAGGCTCCATCCTTGGCCCAGTTTACTTCAACATCTCATAAATGACTTGGACTTGGGACTCGAAGGAATACTAAGTAAGTTTGCTGATGACACAAAACTTGGAGGAGCTGTTGACTCCCTCGAGGGCAAGGAGGCCCTTCAGAGAGACCTCGACAAATTAAAGAGATGGACAATCACCAACCACATGATGTTCAACAAGGAAAAGTGCCAGATTCTACACCTGGGATGGGGCAACCTTGTTTGTGTTCATAGACTGGGGAATGAGATGCTGGAAAGTAGTGCTGTGGAAAGGGACCAGGGGGTTCTGATTGATAGCAAGTTCAATCTGAGTCAGCAGTGCCCTGGCAACCAGGAGGGCCAACTATGTCCTGGGGGGCATCAGGCAAAGCATCGCCAGCTGGTGGAGGAAGGTGATTGTCCCACTCTGCTCTGCACTGGTGCAGCCTCACCTTGAATGTTGTGGCAGTTTTGGGAACCGTAAACATAAAAAAGACATTCAGATATTAAGAGATCATCCATGCTCGTGAGGGGAAGAGGAGGGGCAAGTACTGATCTCCTTACTTTTGTGACTGGTAATCATCATCATGGCTAGGCTTCGCAAACGAAGATTTGGGAAGGGCTCTACCCACGCTTACTACAAGCGCGCTGATGGCTAAAAAGGCCAATGCGAGATAGACAAGTCCGGTTGCAGAAGACACAGCAGAAAGACTCCCCAGGTGATATCGACGAGACGCGATTCTTTCTGCGTTGTCTTTTCTCCTCGAGAGTGATCCTGCGTGTGTTCTCAAAAGCAGCAGCAGCGTTATAGATGGTGTGTCTCCAGGCCTCCCGATTGGAGGCCAGGGTAGACCAATGGTGGTGATCAATATGGCCAAGGATGAGGGATTGTTTCAGGCAGTCCTTGTATCTCCTCTTTGGGGTTCCTCTCTTGCGGCAGCCAGTGGCAAGTTCCCCATAGAGCACGATCTTAGGGAGGCGGTAGTCCTGCATCCTGGAGACGTGCCCTGCCCAGCGCAGCTGTGTTCTCAGCAGCATGGCCTCAATGCTCGTGACTGCTGCCTGTTCAAGGACAGACGTGTTGGTCACATAGTCAGTCCAGTGGATGTTTAGAATTGAATGGAGGCAACGCTGATGGAAGCATTCTAAGAGACGCAAGTGGTGCCGGTAAATGACCCATGATTTGGACCCATATAGAAGAATAGACAGTACAACAGCTCTGTAAACGCTGATCTTTGTACTTTTCTTCAGGTGTTTGTTTTGCCACACTCTTTTATGGAGTTTACCGAAAGCTCTGTATGCCTTTGCTAACCTGTTGTCTATTTCTGCATCAATCTTACCATCTGAGGAGATGATGCTACCCAGGTAACTAAACTGCTGGACTGATTTGAGTTCTGTTTCACCAATGGTGATATGGGGATGATGGGAGACTTCCTGAGGTGCAGGCTGATATAAAACTTCTGTCTTCTTCAAGCTGACTTCCAGTCCAAACAGCTCGGCAGCCTCTGCAAAGCAGGATGTTAGACGCTGCAGAGCTACTTCTGTGTGGGCAACGAGGGCGGCATCATCAGCGTAAAGCAGCTCATGGACAAGATGATTTAAGGTCTTAGTGGGAGCCTTCAGTCGCCTTAGGTTGAACAGGCTCCCATCCGTACGATATCGAATGTAGACACCGTTTTCATCATCGAGGTCTGCCGTGGCCCTTTGGAGCATCATGCTGAAGAAGATTGTGAATAAAGTTGGTACAAGAACACAGCCTTGCTTCACACCATTGGCTATTGGAAACAGCTCAGGAAGAGCATCGCCATATCTGACTTGACTGCACTGGTCCTCATGAAGCAAGATGATCATTTTGAGGAACTTGGGAGGACATCCTAAACGTTCCAAAATCTGCCACAGACCTTTTCTGCTCACAGTGTCAAAAGCCTTGGTGAGATCAACAAAGGTAACATAGAGTCCTTTGTTCTGTTCCCGACACTTCTCTTGCAGTTGTCTGAGAACAAATACCATGTCTGTGGTACCTCTGTTGGCTCGGAAACCACACTGGCTTTCAGGTAGAAGATCTGCTATGGCGGGTATTAATCTGTTCAACAAAATTCTTGCAAGGATTTTACCAGCAATGGAGAGCAGAGTAATACCTCAGTAATTTGCTCAAATTGCTCAAATTGCTCAAATGACTGGTAATAGAACTTGAAGAAATGTCAGGAAGCTGAGTTGGGGGAGGTTCAGGTTGGATATGAGGAAAAAGTTTTTCACCCAGAGGGTGGCTGAATGCTGGAACAGGCACTTTCTTAGTTCAAGAAACATTTGGACAATGCTCTCAGGTACATGGTGTGACTCTTGGTGTGTCCTGAGCAGGACCAGGAATGGGACTCAATGGGTACTTTCCAACTCAGCATATTCTATGATTATATGATTTATCTGGATCATGGCAATGCCAGACACAGCTACAGTCTGGGCAGAGAAGTGATTGAGAGCAGCCCTGCAGAGAAAGACTCTGGGTTGGTAGTTGATGAAAAACTAGACATGAGCCATCAGTGTGAGCTCACAGCCCAGAAAGCCAGCTGTGTCCTGGGCTGCAGCAAAAGAAGTGTGGCCAGCAGGTCAAAGGAGGTGATTCTCTCCCTCTACTCTGCTCTTGTGAGACTCCAGCTGGACTACTGTGTAGTCTGGTGCCCCAACTTAAGAAGGACATGAAACTGTTGGAGCAAGTCCAGAGGAGGCCACAAAGTTGATAAGCGGATGTAACACCTCCCCTGCAAAGATAGGCTGCGAAAGTTGGGACTGTTCAGCCTGGAGAAGTGAAGGTTGTGTGGAGACCTCATTAGCAACCTTCTAGTATGTGAAGGAGGCCTACAGGGAAGGCACAGAGGGACTTTTCATCAGGAGCTGTAGTGACAGGACTAGGAATAATGGACACAAAATGAAAGAGTGGAAATTTAGGTTAGATATTAGGAAGAAAGCTTTTCCTGGGAGGATGGTGAAACACTGGAACAGGTTGCCCAGGAAAGTTGTGGATTCCCCAACCCTGGTAGTGTTCAAAGCCAGGCTGGATATGGCCTCGAGCAACCTGGTCTAGTGGGAGGTGTCCCAGTCCATGGCCAGGGGTGTTGGGGTTAGATGATCTTTAAGGTCCCCTCCAACCCTTAACGTTCTATGACTGTATGATTTCAACAGAATTTTGTATTTCCTACTATGCCAGACTACTTCAAATAATTTGTCCAAAACCAAATTGCCATGGGGTTCATTAAAAGTATAGGAGACAATAATTCTTAATTTATAATTATTTTCCCATTTGACTATTCATTCATATTTTAGTTAATTTAATATGGTTTATGAAAAAACCTAAGGAAAATATTTAAATTAAAATAGCAACTACATCACAAATCTTCAATCCAATAATATAATAATATTTTAATCAGCTTGTATTTTTTCTAATTTTGGAAAAAAAATCCAAATTTTATCTTTAACAGAATTGTAAGGTCTTTTGCAACTGTCATCCTGACAGTTGGCCATAACGAACACGTCTAAATATATAAACTGTGAAATATTCTGTTTCATACAAGAAATATTCAGAGAAACTGCCAGGATCTTGAATGTATCAATAGATTCTAATTGGTCTCACCAGCCTATAATTATTTTTCTCTGCAATGCTTCCTTGGTAACCTCTTTCTCTCCTCTTGCATGTTTAAATGCAGGTGTTCAAGCTGAGCTCTGATGCGGCCCAGCATCATGGATCATCTTGGATAATCCTACTGTGAAAACAGAACTCACCTCTGAGATGTCCCCAATTTCATTCATTCATTTACTCATTTACCCATGAGCTGCATTTAAGCTCAGGTTTTTGAACTAGTTCCTTTCCAGAGCAGATTGGATCCAGCTTTGTATCTTGATGATTTTCATCTGCTGAACCAGCTACCCAGCTTGACCACAAACCTGCTTCATCACCATGTACTTGTCTGGTGATCAGTCTGATGGACTTCTGGGATTGTGCCCTTTGTTGGTGAGGTCACCATCACTTCTGGCTTTGCTGTCACCTTTGGTTACAGCTCCCTTTCCCATACAGAAAGGACCACTCTTGCTATTCCATGAGGTAAGGAATTACAGTAATCCTAATACATTTTGTCTGAACACCCAAATAGATAAGTGGATGGGACTAGATAAATGGCTTTAAGTGACCCTGCTTATGCAGGGTGTTGGACCAGGTGACCTCCAGAGATCCTTTCAAACCTCAGTCATTCTGTGATTCTATGATCATCAACTGTTATTCACAGAACAAGTGGTTGTTGAGTAACCTTGAAGTTCCCTAATACTGCTGCTGGAGAAACTATTATTTCCTGTCTTTTTACAAGCTATGGCCAGAAGAAACTTGCTACGTGATGGATTTTGCTTAACATTTTCAGGAGCTATTCTGAGAGTTAAAACAACCAGATTTTTTTTTTCCAAATTGTCAGTTTGAATGAACCTGCCACACCACAGTTTCATCATAAAACTTTTAAGATTGTATTAAGTTTAAAAGTGTTTATGTTTAGGTAACTAATTTGATTCTGGTTAAAACAATGGCAACAGATGTTCTTAATTCAAGCAATGTATATTTAAAGGCTGAAACACAGCTGAGATTATCATCTTTGTGGGTAATAGCACTGGACCACAATTAGTTATATATTCTTTTTATTATAAAAATATCCTTCAGTTACCTTACTTGATACAGTACTAAACACAGTCTCAGTAGAAAAGTAATAAAAAAAAATCTATATTACCCAAGTGAATTGTCCTTGTGTTATTGATTTAAATAAATAAAACCTATAAAGTATGCCCCTCTTGTCTCTTAGAGTAATGAATGCTTTTCAAGTTCTGCTTGTCGGAAGCTTTTATACTTTGGAACACTGAATTAGTTTAACATGTATTAAATTACTTACAGTGAATCCTCCAATTATATTAAGACACAATCCTTCATTCAGACAGTTGATGCTGAGCAGACTGCAGTAGTCAATTACTTCCTCACAGTTCTTTCCCGTGAATCCTGGCATGCAGCTGCAAATACACAAGTGTATTTTAGAGGACTTGCATTTTAAAAGTTAATTGTATTTAATTATGTTTCATAATTCTATTAAATAATATTCTTGTGGTAACAAAACAGATCTCATATGTTATTTAAAATACACAAAATATGTTTTCAAGGAATTAAAAATCAGTTGCATGAGTCTGTATAATTTTACTTTCCCATAAAATAATTAATTTCATTGACTAAAGCATTTTCATATCAATATAATCTTCCAGAAAAACAAACCAAACAGAATGAGGTAATATTTAATAAACAACTATAAACAAAGTAACAAGGTTTTGGAAACTGTTAAAAAGAATAGTTCAATTAAAACATCAAAGAGGAAAAATTAGAAATATGATGATAAGTGAATTTTAAAGAAATTAACATCAATCTTTGCTAATGATTAAATGGTAGTGAATAATGACATGCTTAGTTAAGTATGGAACAACGTAGAGAGAACAATGCATAGCTGGTTTTGTGTTTGTTTAATTGCAATTCAGTATTTTCTTTAAAGAAGAAAACTAGCTTTTTTTTTTGTGATGGGTTGCTCGTTCCATGTGATGCCAATGGAGCTGTGGGTAACTCTTCTATGGTAAAAGGAACTACAGAAGTTCTGCTTCATGTCATCACTTAGTAGTAGTAGTAATAGAAGAAAATCCTTTTCTTATGTAGCCATCCAGTGTTTAAAAAAAAATCCCATATACACAAATTAAAAGATGAGATTTAAATGGATAGTAAGCAAGTTTTATTCAAAAGTAATAATGGAACAATGTTGGAAAATATTTGAATATTTATATTCTGATAGATACAAATCCCTGTCAAACTCACTCTATATGTTCTTACCGACATATATAGCATGCTCCTGTGTCTAAAGGCTCTTTCTAGTATCACAGAAAGAAAAGATTTAAGAAAAGAAAGGAAATGGCCAGCAAGATGAAAATTTGTGTTTGTGAAGGAATCCAAAAGTAATAGATGGGATGTTTCCTCTTAGCTTTTTCCAAGGGGTACTTTGTCAAATGACTCAGTTCAGAAGCTGGAAATCATGAACATGATACAGATTTGCTTCTGTTTCTCCTATGTTCTTACTCCTAATAAATATGAGATTCACTCTTGTTGCTTATGTTTTCCTGTTTAAAAAAAACTAAATCCCATCCCTGGTTTCAAAATGTATCGAGCCTCTCAGAGTTATGCAGCATACAAAAATAAAGGATATATTTTCCATAGCAATTAACCAGGCAACAACACTAAATAGAAAGTGCCTGAGTTGACCATACTTTCTGAATCAGTTAAAGAGATCTATCAGTGGGTGTGGCTCTGCCTCTGAGGAATGCACAGACACATCTGGCATGTCCAGAGGCTTAAGTCACTAATTAACCTTAGTTAAATATTAAACAGGTTGGATTTAATCAGAAATTGCTGGAGACCATCCACACAATTCACACATAGGACCATTTGGACAGAGGTAGATAAATATGGGAAAAACTTCTCTAAACAGTTATACGTTTTGAGGCTAGTCACAACCACAGAAGGACACTCTATGCAAGAGGTTTTTTTTTTTTTTCAATAAATATACCAGTGTCAGGGAACATAAGAGTAAACTAAGAGCAAAAAAAGTTGACAGTAAAGTTCCAGAGAAAACACTAACAGAACAGATTTTCTCAGAACCCCCTTTCACAATTTTTGTGACTTTTAGTTGTCCTAAAGAACATGAAAGATAGAAGAAGACACAAAGAAAGCAATCACAGTTTATTGTGATGGATATTCTTGTTCACTGGCTATTTGAATTCAGCTTAATTTTTGACATTTAAGAAAAAATGCTACTGTTAGATTCTTAGCCCAAAGTTGTGCGTGATATCAAGATGAAAGGGTGGAATTATGTTACAAGATAGTCATACATCATAACTGAAGTGGAGAAAATTAAACTGAGTCAGTCTCGTTATATGTTTAGAGTGGAAAATAACTGTTTTTCCAAAGAAGGAAGAATGTGTAGATAAAAGCTTAGATTGTGATGGATACAAGAAGAATGAGGAAAACCACATAAGATAGGGGGAAGCAAAAAAAAACCCATAATGAAGTAAAGAGGTCAAAACAGCTATTATTTGAAGTTGTATATGCATGTATGCTAAATGCCATTACATTTATTTATAACATTAAAATGCTATAAAAGTGGATCACGTAGCAATATTACATGTAGTATTACACTGAATGTAGTAGTAGCATTGTTGTAGTAGTATTACACTGAATGAAACACATGCAGTTTATTGTGAGGTGATTGGACAGAGACATAACATATAGTATTTGACAATGATTACCAGAAATGAAACAGAATCTTCACTTAAGACTTTGAATGAGCGATGTTAATTATTCAATCTGCCTTGTACACAGGGCCAGGATAATTTTTTATTACTTTTGTTTTGTTTTTGTTAATAAAGGCAATCTACATATTGATATTAATTATTCATGATATGCATATTTTTAAATGTAAACATCAAAGCATGATTTTCTACTTATTCATGCACCAACATACTGTGTGAAAGACATTAGTTAAGACATTAATTATTAGCTTATATCTTGGTTTAAAGAATTGGAAAATTAATGCTAACACTGTTGTTCTGTGCTATACATATCTATATGGGAAGATTTAACTTGTGTGTGTGCTTGTATATGCGTGTCTCTATGTATTTCTGTATTTAGGAGTAAGTATAAATAAAATTTTAAAAGTATTTTCTTCTTTGGGAGAATTGTAAACATAGTTCTACTTATGTTTTTATTTCTGGACTTCTCAATTTAATTTTTGCTGATGGACTGTAAATTTGTGTTCTATACATCTTTTTTTGCAGTTTCTAAGTTCATTAATAATGTGATGTCAGGTTTTTGTGTATCACAGTTTTCGATTCTCTGCCCTTATGAATATCCTAAAATTTGAATATTGTTTACTGCACCTCAGTAATGCTTAGCAGAACTTACTCAGGAAGTTAGATAAAAGCCAAGGAAGAGAGAAGAGGACAAATTGTACTCCTTAATGACGTTAAAAAGAAAAAATCTAAAAACTTATTTAAAATGAAATTACATTATACACTGGGTCACTTCTGTTATTTTCAAATGGATAATTTTTGGCATGTTTTTTCTGAATAAAACAGTTTTTCATATGCTGCTTGAAGGACCAACCTAAGGTCTGCTAATGCATGACTGTGAACTAGAAATTAAATAGGTTGTCTTATTTTTTCAGAGAAAACATAAACATCATAAACCCTGAAAGGGAGTGTAGTATAACTGTCTCACTTATCATCAATTTGTCAGGATTTATATGTTTTATCTTACAGTATTAATAATGGAACGATTTTTAGCCCTTTAAATTCTTTAAATCCTTCTGTATCACTTTAAGGGTTTTCAAGAAAACTAATGCAATAAAGCACCAAAAAAAAATTTAAATATTTTAAAAGACAAGTTTATAGTTTTCTGTGTTCTCTGTGATTGACGACGTCTTTTCTTTCTGCAATCTATGGGATATCACCAGGTGAACCAACAAAGTATACTGACATAAATTAATTTCCAGTCTTACCGGCAGTTGTAGTTCTGCTGTTGAGCTATGCAAGTTGCATTATTTAAACAAGGCAGTAATTCACATGGATTCAGTATTCTCTCACAGAACTTGCCAGTAAATATTGGCAGACAGATACATGCCACATCCTATAGGAGATAAGGAAATTAGAAATAATTGTGATACCCAAGGCAATACAAAAATTAGTGTTTACTTCCATTTTGATAGAGACTCTAACAAGGTCAGGATTTCATCATATTAAACAGTCTAGAAAGATAGAACAAAAAGCAGTTCTAGCCTCAGATAGGTTACAAACTTGATTTAGGACAAATGCAATAGGCCTTCCAGCACAGATTATACCAGACTTGGGTTTGCTAGCTGGAAATACAATAGCTCTAAAATTGGCTGGCTCTGTGATTTCATAACTGAATCAAGAAGGGGTTTTATAATACATTTAGGTTTTTCCTCATTTCTGAATTTTTTCCAACATAATGTTTACATCTATCAAACAGTAACAGTACACATAGTACATCAGATACCAAGTAGTATTCAGCAACTAAAGGAGAAAAGAAAATTATGTGTATCCTTTTTCTCCTTCATTATGAGGCACAGAGACTATTCCCCTCTATAATGGTGGAAGACATCTGTCAGTTACTGCAATTCCTAATTTGCACAGTAAGAATAACTCATTTTACAAACCAAGATATTTCTTAGAGCTGATAGTTGCACCCTTATTTTTCTCTATAAAGTTATGCTCTTTTTAGGCCTTTTGAAGTCAGAAAGTAAAGGAAAAAAATAAAGGGGTTGGTTCCCCTACAAAAATTGGAAGTGCTTGGGTGTTACTTTAGACTTGCTCCTAAAGGTATAATCAGGAAACTTCAATATCTATTGAGACATGTCTATATGTGTGAAACAAATTACTGTGTCTGTTTATTGTACAAAATACTATGTGCTAGTATATCTAATAGGCAAAATATTTAAACAAGTTGCATGACAGGAATTTATCAATTTTTTCAGCAATTTAGATGTCCTTTTTTCTCTGTGCATGAGTATGTATCACTGGTTAAGCTTTTGAATTCTTCTTTCACTATTTTGGTTCTGTACAATCACTGCTATTTGCAATAAGTCATACTAATGAAAGAATGATATATTTTGACATGTTTTATGTCAGAAGATTTTTATTAGAGAGAGGAAAAAAGAAATGAAACAACATTGGTAGCTCCTTAAGTGATCACCAAGCAACTGAACTGAAATGTGGAATTTGGGCTTTTTATCACAGAATCATACATTAGAATTAAATGTTTTGACACTTTCATGGAACAGATCCTCCTGGAAGCTTGTCAAGGCATATGGATGACAGGGAGGTGATTAGAGACAGCCACCATGGCTTCACAATGATGTCTAACTAATGGTAGCTTTCTATGATGTAGTGACTGCACTGACGGGTAAGGGAAGAGGAACTGATTCCATTTACCGTGACTTCTGTAGGGCGTTTAACATCGTCCCACACATCCTCATTGTTGCTAAACAATGACAGGGGAAGGACTGTAAATGCCCCATCCCTGGAAGTGTTCAAGGTCAGGTTCAGTGGGCCTTTCAGCAACCTAATCTAGTGTAAAGGGTCTCTGCCCACTGCAGAAAAGTTGGAAATAGATGATATTTAAAGGTCCCTTCCAACCCAAATAATTTTATGATTCCGTGCTTTTATGATTCTATGTTCAAATAGGGATCTCTAAAGTTTATACTTACATTTGGCAAATCAATACATGAGCCTCCATTCTGACATGGCCTTGAAGAACATTCATTGATATCAATTTCACAGTTATGACCAAGAAATCCAGAAGGACAAACACAAACATATTCAGACCCATTATACTGGCATATGCCTTCATTTAGGCATGGCTGAGATTCACAAGGATCACCAGGTTTCTCACAAAAAGGACCTAAAAGAAATAAACATAAAAAATTACAGTGTTTGAGTGAATGGTTCCTCTTGATGTGCTGCCCATAAACCTAACTTTTTAACTTCTTTACTATGATCTGTTATTGTGTTTTCCTATTATTTCTTTTCTTTTTTTAATACTTTTTCTAAACATTGAGAGGCTTTTATTTATTGCGTTTTTTTAAAATTGTTTACACTGCAAAGCTCTAAGACTGAGACATCTATATGATATCACCATTTAAAAAGCAAAGAATTTAATATATTCCTGTATGTTTTGTTTGTTTTGGTGAATAAATGTGGTAGAAATCTATGGGAATGACTAAATTCATCTGTAACAAAGGAAGGAGGTGAACTAGAATCAGAATCCTGGAAGACACTGAATAGTCATTCACTATTTCTCTCATGATGGTTATTATTAGGGGAAGCTGAATCCAGTGTACTCTCAGACCAGGGAGGTTGTTCTCATTTCTATTTATAGATCCAGCCAGTAGCAAAACTGAATGTGCTCTCAGTAAGCAAACACACAATCACACACACACACACAAAATGCAGACACATTGGCCATAGGGATCAACAGGAAGAACAACGTCTTTCCCTTCCATAAACACAAAGAGCAGTCACACCAACTAAACAGCAGTGATGGCTCAACCTTTTCCCTTCTCTCTCGCTGGTCAGTATTGAAGTTCAGCAGCAAACATACACACTCCCTCATTTTCTAAATACAAAAATAAACCCTCATTAATGAATCCCTCAAGAAATAAGCATAGATATTAAGTCTGTCTGCGATCCATACCAGGATCCTGAACCTCTTTCCAACTTGCTGGCTCAGAGCTTGAGTCATTCCAGATCTGGGTATCATTCTGGTTGCTGGTTAGTCCAATTTAAAGGTCCATTGCTTCCCACTAGGAAAGCTGGTAACACAGAAGTAGTAAAGAAAAGAGACTGCAGTGATCAGACACAGTCTCAGCCAGAGAAGTAGAATGGGCAGCAGCCTGCTTATATTCAGCCAGCAGCTAAGAATTTACTTCCATTTACTTCAGGAATATTATGTAGCAAATATGCTTTTTACATATTTTGTGCTTTGGTGCTCTGATTCAAAGCAACTCCCTAGCACATATTTACGGATTACATCAGATTAATTTTTCAGCGATTTGCTGTAGCAATAACATTACCTTCATAATAAATCCCTTCTGAAGAAATAATATCTATTGATTCCACATTTTGTTAGCCACTTGAGTCCACTGAATTAAAAATAGACATTCATAAAAGAATAAATTATACTTTACAAAAAGATGTATAATTTTGAAATGGTAAACAGAATACTTTTAACCCAAATTGTAAACTACAAGGTAAGCATAACTAACTAATTATAAACAAGTCAATAGATGTGAACCTCAAATAATTTAATTACCAATAGCTATATAAAGAAACTGTAAGTATGTGGAATAACATTTACCAGGAGATCAAAATTTCACACTCTGTCTCTATTATATACCAGAACAACTGATGCAACAAACACTATACATGAAAATCCCCTTAGTAGAAAAAGGATCAAAACACATTTTACGTCCCACATTTCAGTAGAAATAGTTATTCCAATAGGGCAAAGTAAATTGGATCTATCTTTTATCACAGATTGTTCACTTCTCTTTAACATCAGAGGACAGTCAAAAAATCCATCACCAATTTTTTTCTATCCCTCATAACCATAGTAACAAAATTATAGTATATTGTAACTTGCAGATGTTAGGGCTTGCTAATAGGAAAAGCTAAGAAGGCCATTTGTCAGAACAAGGCCATTGATTGGTATTAGTGCATATGTAAGAGAGCATCTGCAACATGAAGTAAGGGGGATTGGTCAATTCTCTCATAATTCAATTTACTATTTAGCTGTCATGTTCTACTTCAGTACAACATTGTACCCCAGCAGTACTCATAGATGAGGTTATATATCAATGTTCACTCTATTTTTTTCCCTTGTATTAGGCACATTTGACAAGAATGGGTGCTTCTATCCCATCCACATTACTAAATAGGGTAAGACAAACGAGAAAAACAATTGACTCACTTTGCTCTATCCAAAGGACTGATAGAAAGAGTAGTCTCACTAGCTGAACGGATTAATGAGTTTTCCCTGCCATTGTTTTCTACCCCTGAATCCATTCAATCCTCCCCATTTTTTCAGTCAGCATTACCAAGTGACCGAAGTATTTCTTAGCCTTTTGTTAAACAATGGCTCTCAATAGGATTATTAGAACAAGGAAAGACTAAATGAACAAAATAGCACAGAAAAATATAGGACAGTTGGGAAAACCAGATGAAAGAGGGCCCTTTTTGGTAATGTTATGTTCATTTGTAGCAAAATTAGAAAAAGGTAATTGTTCTGCCAAAAAAAAAAAATTAAAAAAAAAAAATAGTGCAACATCATTTTAAAGGAAGACTAAAAGTAGCTAGAAGAGGAATAGAGAAAATCCTGAGAAAATATAAGGAAATATTGTCAATCATGCCATGAGATATATATATCAAGGACAAATAAATAAATAAAAAGATATATCCTTCTTTTCTCCTTGGTAAAGACAGAAAAAAAATATTGTTAATTTGGGAAGAAACAGTTCATTTAGTGAAAACTGGTAGACTATAACCTAACCAGGTCAAAGGGGATCAATTTAAATTAAGATACTGAGGCAAAAACTTCACTCATAGTCTAAAACACAAGTCACATCAATGTCTTTTAGGAAGAATTCAGTGTTTTTTCCTGAATCATTGGTGCTAATTGTTTCTTTGACATTCCTCTACTCTGCAACTCACTGTATTCAGCATATTATGTAAAAGGCAAGAGCAGTGCTCTTTCACCTGAACATCCATGCCTGATGAGTTTGACAAATCAAGTCAATAAACAGAATTCTGAAGAATTTGTGTTTTAAGATTTTTATTCTATCACTCCCAAACCTCATGTCACAATCTATTTACTATATAAGACTGAAAGATGACTTGCTTACAGCTCTTGGATGAGGAAAATATCAAGCACTAAAGGGATCATTAATTCAGTGAAGAAGTGTGTAAGAAGAGCAAGCAACTAAAGAGAGAAGCAAAATCATATAAAGTGAGAAACAGCTCACACATTTTTACCAGTGATACTTCTGGTATCATGAAAGAATTTAATTCAACAGTTGCTAATGTCTTCACATCAATGTTCTTTAAAAGATAATTTTTTAACCATATACAAGTAAACTGAAGCCTTCATAAATAGATAAGTAATATAACAAGTTTTGGTTGGAAGAGAAGAACAACTGGTCCCCTAAATTTGAAAATCTATTTACCTACTATGACTCAAACCCTTTTAAAAAATTGTGTAAAATTATGAATTAATTCGAAATTCTCATTTTTAAATTTACACATTTTTGTCATCATCAGTGCCTCTTGGTTAGATATGTTTAAATAAATACTTAAATTCATAACCATGTTAAGATTTATTGATGTCTTGAATGTTGTTGTTAGAAATAAGGTAAAGAGGAACAGGACAAAAATAGATCTTTATAATCTGATTTCAAATTCAAGTCTCTGAACAAGGGCAATATTTAAGCAATGAACAGTGCATCAAGGATCAACACAACAGTTCAACTTGCACATGCATATTTTACAATGTTTTTACATGTTCTGGAGACCTAAGACTTAAATTAAAAATAAAAAAGAGAAAAAAGTGCAAGGCCAATTCTCTTAACTGCATAGATTCGAAAAATAACCTTCTATTTTACTTTGATATCAATAAAAACATAGTACATGTTTAGTATGATATATTTCAAATATAAAGCTACAATATTCAGTGTCTGAAAGGTGTCATTTCTAAATGGCTATAGTAAATTCAGATGTAATTGGAACTTCAGATGTAAGTGGAACTGCAGCCATTACAGTGAATAATAAGTTAATTTGTTGCTTATTTATATGACATCAGTTAATATCTTGTATTAAACCCTATATTTTGAGATTTTAAATATATTCATCTTTCTATGCCAATTTTGAAGAGTAAAGAAAAATGTGCAATGAATTCTATTCTGCTTTCTCCATCAATGGTAATTAATCCCTAGCTCAGAGAGAAAGATTAGTATACTGAACAGTGGTGTTATCAGAGCAGTGACCTTGTGACTGGAAATGCTACCCAGAGAATAAACTTCTGGTGGCATGTCATTATACAAGAAACTTAACTTTAATTCTTAAAGGAAGTTTGTATGTCAGGTGGAGAGACCTCCAAATGAAAAGTGAAGTACTTGTTGGGTCATTTTTTAACTAGATATAAAACGCCAGTATAAGTTAGTATATGTTAAATTCTTTATAAAATACATGAGTGAGCAGCATAAAATGAATGCCCTCTGTTTTAACTTTTCCTACTGCACTATGGGTTAGAAGAAAGCTACTGGAGAGAAGGAGTGAAATCACTCCTGAGTACAACTGAAGCTGCAATAATCCAGGCAGAGGTGTGAGCAACAGGATGAGCAGCATGAGCATAAACTGAACGACTTGTGAGAAACAAAGAAACTGGGGCTAAAGTACCATGGTGAAGAGCAGAAAGACATTTATCCTGCGGTCCCAGGAAGTAAAGGGTAGAAATTGTTTTAACCCAGAGAACTGCACTAACAAATGAATTGGGGAACTGATAACAAAACTGAGGAAAAGACACAAGAAAAGCTTTTTATTTTTGTTTTTAATTTTGTTATAATGTCTCTCTTTAAAAGTTAATTGTTCCCATTATGGTTTTATAAAACACAGTTTTATAAAGGACTATTCAAAGCCCTTCCACATTAAAATGAAAGTGCAGGTAGGTCCAATTCAAAGCTCTAGCTGTTTGTGTCTCTGTTGCTAACATTATTTTTCCCATTTCATAGTGGAAAAAGATACTATAGTGTTATAGAATATTATTCAAATACACTCAGCACAAGTTAGCTAGAACAAGTGTTTGGCTGTTCTACCGACAAAATGTACTAACTACCCTATTCTTGACTTGAA